AAAAGATGAAATTACTAACTAACCAACAAACTAATATTTACACAAATATAATGATGACACGTATGATGTAGTTCCATAGCTAACTAACTGAATTAAGCTAGCTGAATTTGGGCGGGATGAAGTTGTTGCAAGATGAGCTGGTGCTGGTGAGCTGGAGCAAGTGAGCTGAGCCGCAGGTGAGCTGGAGTGAATATTCTGTTACTCCCCCTCAAGATGGGCAATGAGGATTGATAACAGCCATCTTGGACAATAAGGGGATTAAAGAAGTTGCAGGGAGTGGTTTAGTAAAGATGTCTGCTAACTGATGTTGTTTTCGAACCGGAAGTAGCTTGACAAAACCATCATTTATCTTATCTCGAATGAAATGACAATCTGTTTCAATTTGTTTGGTTCGTTCATGGAATATGGGATTTCCTGCAATATGTATAGCAGTCTGATTGTCACAAAAAAATAGTGCAGGAGGAATGACAGCAACTAGAAAATCTCGTAACAGCTGATGTATCCAGACAAGTTCACTAGTTGTAGAAGCTAGAGCACGATATTCGGCCTCTGCTGACAAACGGGAAGTGGTGCTTTGTTTCTTGGCTTTCCAGGAAACCATGGAGTCACCAATAAAGATGAAAAATCCGGTAACAGATTTTCTGGTATCCAAGCAAGCTCCCCAATCCGCATCCGCAAATGCACAAAGCTGAAAAGAAGAAGAGGCTGAAAACAGAGCAGCTTTGAGATACCGCAGGAGATGGTGGACTGCATTTAAGTGCGGTTGTCTAGGCTGAGCAACAAACTGGCTCAACTTATAACAGCAAACGTAATGTCTGGTCTAGAGATGGTTAAGTATAAAAGACAACCAATGAGCCTTCTATATATTGAGGCATCAGCAAGAGGCTCCACATCAAACGTACAAAGCTTAGCCTTGGAATCCATGGAAATGAGAGATGGTTTACAACCTAAAAAGCCAGTGTCTTCCAATAATTGCAGTGTGTATTGTCGCTGAGAGTGGAATATACCCTTTTGAGAGGATGCAATCTCTAAACCACAGAAATATTTCAAACATCCAAGATCCTTCAACTTGAATAGGTTGTGCAGCAGTGTTTTCAATGAGCTAATACTCTTCAAGTCTGAACCCGTGATGATGATATCATGAACGTTGACTAATAAAGCAACAAATGTATCGTCAGATCCTTTAGTGAACAAAGAATAATCAGATTTGGACTGGGTAAAACCATGTGAAATGAGTGCTGTAGAGAACTTTGAAAACCATTGTCTTGAGGCTTGCTTTAAGCCATATATTGACTTGTGTAATTTACAAACCAACCTTTCCTTTGATGGACTAGTAATAAGCTTACTATAACCCAAAGGTAAGTCCATGTAGATTTCCTCAAAAAGGTCACCATTGAGAAACGCATTGTTGACATCATGTTGGATGATCTGCCATTTATGAATGGTTTCAATTGCAAGGAATATCTTGACGGTGACTAACTTAGCTACAGGAGAAAAGATTTCAACAAAGTCAAGGCCCACTTGTTGAGTATAACCTTTCGCTACTAATCGTGCCTTATATCTGTCAACATTGCCATCGGATTTGTGCTTAATTTTAAACACCCCATTTGCATCCTATAGAGTGTTTGTCATATGGTAGCTGAACAACTGACCAAGTATTATTGAGCTCCATTGCCTGCAATTCAGTTTCCATAGCCTTTTTCCAATGATCAAATTTAATTGCTTGGTGATAAAATTGATGCTCATAGCTGGAAGAAATGTTGAAGAGATAGTTGCAGTGGGAAGATGAAAAATTCTTATAAGATGGATATTTGTTTAATGGATAATGAGTGTGATGATCAAAAGGCGCAAGCGAGCTGGTTAGCAGATTGCAATGAAAGGCTTGGAGATATGATGGGGTTTTAATTGTTTTGTTTGATCTTCTAGGAACTGGAACCATAGATGCACCAGCTTCTAGATTTGAGCTGGGATGAGAAGGTAAAACATCAGTATGATTGGTAGTGTCATGGACAATATCAGTATGATTGGTAGTGTCATGGATAGTATCAAGATTAATATCAGAAGGCACAGATGAAATTGCTATATGGTGGAAGACTATCATTGTGATGGATAACATCATTACCTAGTCTGGGCAGAACAAGGTCAGGAAAAAAATGGATTTCGTGATAATGTCATACAATTTATACCCTTTTATGCCAGGTGGATAGCCAACAAAAACACACATCTTGGCCCTCGGATAGAACTTGGATCGATGAGATGACAAAGTAGAGGCAAAGCATAAGCTGTCAAAGACTCTGAGAGAGTAATACTGAACTGGAGAGTTATAAAGAAGGTAGAAATGAGCCGCAAGATTGGCGATGGTGTCCTGTTGATTAAGAATGTGGCTGTGAGTATCCAGTTACCCTAGAATTGAATAAGAATCCGGGATTGGAAAAACAAGGCTCTTGCCACATTAAGGAGATATTGAAGTTTTCTTTCTACGACTGAGTTTTGCTCAGGCCTTTCAACACAAGAATATTGATAGATCACCCCTTTTGAGGCAAATAATTCAGTAAACTGAAGCTCAGGAGCCTGATCAGACCTAAACTTTTTAATGGATGAATGGAACTGAGTTTCAATCAAAGCAAAGAACCTAGGGATGATGGTTTTGGCATCTGATTTATGCTTCATAAGGTATACCCATGTAAACGTGAGTAATCATCAACCAATGTCAAAAAATACTTGTGGCAAACATATGTTGGGACTTGATATGGACCCCAAGTGTCACAGTGAATTAAATCAAATGCATTCTTAGATAGATGATTGTTGGAAACAAATGACATTCTCCTCTGCTTAGCCAATGGACAGAGCACACGAAATAACATCAGGGTCTTTGTATTTATTACATGCAATATTCAAATGTTCTTTCATCATATCCAATTTTTGAAAGGATAGGTGACCAAGCCTATGATGCCAAGTGTTCGAGGTCACATTATTTAAAACAGCACATACAGAATTGAAATCTTCATAACCCTTTAAAACAAACTTAGATGATGCAGCATCCAATATGTAGAGATCATCCATTCTATTACCCTTGCCAATCATCCCTCAAGTTGTCCAGATCCTGAATAATACAGCAATCAATGAGAAAAGTAACCTTGATAGGTGAGTTCCTAGTCAGTGAACTGATACATAACAGGTTGAATTTAAATTGAGGAACAAATAACACATCCTCAAGCACCAGCTCATGATTAATCTTTACGGTTCCTTTGAAGTTCACAGGAATCCTTTCATGATTTGGCAGTGTGATGTAGGCATTTTTGATTGGTCTTAAAGTGTGAAAAGATGATTGATTGAAACATATATGGCTTGTAGCTCAAGAATCCATTACCCGGGATGTATGGAAACTCAGTATAGGATTAAGAGAAATAGAGAAACATGTACCTGAGATCTGGCCAGACTCATTGTTACCTATTTCAGTATTGGCCTTTGCATTTGTAAGATGATTGTTCAACACGTGCATCAGTTGCTGGTATTGAGTATGGTTCAGGGTCTGCATAAACTCCTCAACATTACCACCACCTTGTTCTGGTAATGAATTGGAAACATGATTGACCTATTGACTGCAACATGATTTGTTTGAGAGTTGGGGATCGGTCCAATTCTCTGTTTCGTTTTATATCCTGGTGGATATCCATGAAGCTTATAACACTTATCAACTCCATGTCCAGCAAATCCACAATAGGTACATATAGGTCTCTCCTTCTTCTGAAATTTATTATGCGGCTGTCCTGAAGATAACTTCTTCCCTTCATTTTTAACATAGAATGCCATAGTGTCAGTGCTACTATATGGATTTGTACTAACAGACCTCTAATGTTCCTCTTGAGAAATGAAAGCAAACACTTTGTTTATCGATGGAATAGGATCCATCAGCAACAACCGCCCCCTCACTTGAGCATAAGAATCATTCAATCCTATGAAAATGACATCACATATTCCATATGGTAATGATCAGCTAGTTTCTTTATTCATCCACAATCGCATTTTCCACAAGAACAAACTGGCCTATAGTTGTTGAGTTCCTCCCAGATGGTTTTTAGCTTGGTGAAATAGACACACACAGAAGATTGTCCTTGAGTATGGTTCATCAGTTCCCTTCTCAACTGGAATATGCGAGGCCCGTTTCTCTGATGGTATCTCTCCTTAAGGTCTTCCTAAATCTCTTGTTCTGAATCAACATAAATAACACTTGCTGAAATCTCTTTAGAAATCGAATTGAGAATCCAAGAGATAACAATGTTATTATTCTGGATCCAAACTCTTAATAACTCAGGATTATCTTCAGGTTTTGTTATGGTTCCATCAATAAATCCCACCTTGTTTTTCACAGATAAGGCAATTATCATAGCTCGATTCCAAGATGCATAATTGTCTCCTACCAATGGTTGTGATGCAAGAACCAAACCTGGACTGTCTGAGTGATGTAAATAGTAGGGGATTGTTCTATCATCAATAGCGGAATTACTTATTGAAGATGAATGAAATGATCGATTATGAATTTCAGTTTCTGCCATAGAGATGCAGGGAACTTATCAAAGAATTGACAGAGTTAAAGCGAAGAAGAAGCCTTACGCTTTGATACCATATTGAATTGATGAAGAATGAAATGTATTCAATATGAAAAACTTACAATTCGAATGAATTATACAGTATATAAATACACAGCAAAAAGATAAAATTACTAGCTAACCAACAAACTAATATTTACACAAATACAATGATGACACGTATGATGTACTTCCATAGCTAACTAACTGAATTAAGCTAACTGAATTTGGGCAGGATGAAGTTGTTGCAAGATGAGCTGGTGCTGGTGAGCTGGAGCAAGTGAGCTGAGCCACAGGTGAGCTGAAGTGAATATTCTATGAAAAACATCGGTAAGATTACACTTTGGACCATAAACCAGTCAATCAATGATCAAACACTATTACTACTAAGTAAAACTTCAGTAGTATATACTAACAATTCACCAGTGTAGCTCTGGCTAAACATTTATTTATCATTCGAAGTCGCATGATCCACATCACATACATATCCATTTTCTGCCAAGCAATACCATTATAGAGCTGCTGATAGTAATTATGATGAGAATGAGCCTCAAAATCATGAAATCTACCCACTAAATTCATATTTGCTGCTATTCCCATCGTCATAGGTATCGGCATAAGCTGTGGGTATTGCATTGGAATTGGCATAATCCCATAATGCCCACTATCACTATAATCAACATTCCCAACACTTGGAGACTCGTCGAAGCTCTGTTGACGGAAAACTGGTGCCGAAGCAAACATGTGATCAGAAGCGGATGGACTCTCCTTCATTCTCTTGTTATATAACATGTACTTCTGCAGATGACTGGCAACAGTTTCTCGAGTCAACCCATCCACATTCATTATCTGCACAATCGTCTTCGGCCCCGCATTCTTAACCCCAAATGCTCCACCACGTCGAAGAACCGCTTGTGCAGATTCGGGGTCCACACAAGTCACGCCCTTTTCAAACTCTTGCCTGGACCCAATTGATCCTCCGTACAGTTTTCGATGGTAGAGCTGGGTATATTGGGGTCAGATCCATCATGGGTCGGGTCATGTTCCTCTACCATCACATAGCCGACACGGTTGGCGTATTATTACCATTAAATGACTTGAAACTGAAGTGGCGGTCAGCAGCGACGCGGATAGAGGAGAGGGTATTCTGAGAAGCGCGGTAGACGTCGAGAATGGTCCGCATAGGCTCCGCGAGATTTTGAACGCTGCCACCAGCTCTCGCGGAATCAACAATTGGGACAACGGTGTCAGTGTTATGGAAGGAGCAATAGGGGTAGAAAAGGAAGAAGAAGCTCAACAAGAAGAAGAAATCAGAAGGAAGAAGAAGAAGAGAAGAGACTGAATTAATAGAAATTCGAATTCAGAAATGGCATCGTTTGGTTCATCGTGAAACGGCGTCGTTTTGGCTCAATTTTAATTGAAATAAAGAAACACGTTTTTTCCTCATTTTCGTTTGTGTTGTGTCACGCTTTCTCTATGGAACCTATATATACACAAGCCATGTATTCACTGCAATGACTCACGTGATTTGTTATGAAATTCAATTGGTTATTAGATTGATTTCTCAATTCAATCTTATCTCTCACCCCACCCCAATTTCTATTTCTTTTGATTGAGTTGCTCGATTGTTCAGCTGAATCTAGTTGCAGAAGCTTTCCAGTGAAGAAGGAGCTGAGTTTGGAGCTCAAGTCATGACAATTGGTATTAGAGCAGGCATATAATACTGGGTAATCATTTAAAAAGTAGATACAAGGGCAAAGGCAACTGATGAACATTTGAAGAAGCTAGATCTCGAAGTAGCTGATCTGGGTACAAGCTTCAAGGTAGTTACTGGCCGATTGGAGAATAAACTAGAATCTACAGACCAAACTCTTCGGGTGTTGAGTAGTAGGCAAGAGAAAATCGAGGATGCTATGTTGGATTTGAACAAAAAGTATGAGAAGGTTGTTGCACTCATGGCCCAAATTTCAACTGATTTGAGAGCCAACCAGAAGAACAAAGGGATGGAGGAATCTATGGGTAATTTGAAGTTTGGGAGTGAGTCCTACACACCAGGAAGCAACAGTATGGAGGCTAGTGTTGTCTCCAGAGGCGAGCTAAATGGAATCACCAAGCTACCTAAAATAGATTTCCCTCACTTTGGTAGGGAAGGACCCAGGGAATGACTGAGGAACGTCAGGAAGTATTTCCAATTGCATCAAATCTCAGATGAACTGAGAGTTGGAGTGGCAGAAATGTACTTGAAAGGGAATACTGATATCTGGTTTGATAGGTTCATTACCAGTCACCCAAAGACTAGTTGGAGCTTATTTTCAGAAGCATTGTACAGGAGATTTGCAGAGACTACTGGAGAGGAGATAGTGGAAACCTTCAGTAAAATCAAACAGTTGGGCTCCATTGAAGAATATGAAGAGAAATTCGAGGAGCTTAAATCCCAGGTAATGGTAGCCTTACCACATGTCCCTGAGTCCTACTATATTGCTGTGTTTACCAATGGATTGAGAGGGGAGATTAAATCCATGGTTAAAATGATGAAACCTAACACATTGGCTAAAGCATTTTGAGGTAGCTACAAGAATCTACAATCCAAGCCCTAAAAAAATACCAAAAACCCAAGAGTTTTACATAACAAATGGAATCCTTACCCACCAAAGCCCCCTAAAGGTACCAAACCCACAGAACCATGGCAAAAAATAACTAAGCCATCAAACCATTTTAAAACCATCATTCCCACAGACTTTCAAACCAAAAGAAACCTGGGGCTCTATTACAAATGTGATGAGAAATACACGGTTGGGCATGTGTGTAAAAACAGGGCACTAAACTTCATATTAGTGGATGAAGAAGAGGATGAAACTAAAGAGGAGAGAGGACCTGATCAGATGATGAAGAGGTGATGGAAATATCTATCAGCACCATTGCTGGAAACCCACGGCATAGAACCATCAGAATTCCAGGAACCATCAAAGGAAGGAACATATCTATTCTAGTAGATAGTAGGAGTACTCATAGCTTCATCGATGAAAGGCTGGCCAGGGAACTGAACTATCCCATAGAGGGAACTAAAACCATGACAGTGAAGGTGGCTAATGGAGAAAAGCTAGAGAGTAAAGCTCTGATTCAGCCACTGGTTTGGAAGGTACAAAACTGGGAGTTTTGGTATAGAATGGGAACTTTGAAATTAGGAGGTAGTGACATGGTACTAGGTGTTAACTGGATGAGCCAATTTGGGCCTATCACATTCAATTTCAAGCAAGGTTATATTAGGTTCCAACGTGAACAAGAAAAGATAACACTAAGGTGTGACAATTCAGAACCTTGAGTAATGATGATGGAAGAAAAGGAAGTGAACAATTTATTCAGAAAAGGGCAATATGGTGTTATGGGGAACTTCTATGCTCTTACTGAGATAGAAGGAGAGGAGATTCCTAACCAAATAACTGAAGTGGATCTGTGGTGTTTGAGGAACCAAAAGGTCTGCCCCCTCCTCGAACACATGATCACCTCATTCCCTTGAAGGAAGGTGCCCAACCTTTCAAGATTCAACTATATCGATGCCCCTTTATCCAGAAATCAGAGATTGAAAAGCTGGTAAAAGAGATGCTAGACAGTGGCATCATCAGGCACAGCAATAACCCCTTTGCTTCTCCAGTACTTTTGGTCAAGAAAAATGATGGATCATGGCAATTTTGTATGGATTACAGGCAGCTTAATAACCTCACTATCAAAGACAAATTTCCCATGCCTCTGATTGATGAGCTTTTGGATGAGTTGAAAGTTCAAAGTTTTATTCTAAAATTGATCTTAGGGCAGGGTATCACCAAATCTGAGTAACTGAGGCTGACATACATAAAATAGCCTTCAAAACTCACCAAGGGATATGTGAATTTAGAGTGATGCCTTTTGGCCTCGCCAATGCCCCTGCCGCTTTTTAGAGCCTCATAAATGAAGTCTTTAAGGATCAGCTGAGGGATTATGTATTGGTGTTTTTCGATGATATTTTGGTTTACAGCAAAGATCAAGTTTCACATTGCCACAATCTCGGATCAGTCCTCCAAATTCTCCAGAAACATCGGATGTATGCAAGAGATCCAAGTGTAGTTGTGGTCAAGAACATGTAGAATATCTAGGACATATCATCAACCAACAAGGAGTGGCAGCAGACCCCATCAAGGTTAATGCCATGAGACAGTGGCCTAGGCTAGTGAGCATCAAATAGCTAAGAGGATTCCTGGGCCTCATTGGTTACTACAGGAAATTCGCCAGAAGTTATGGAATCATAGCCAAAACCTTTACAGACCTGCTCAAAAAGGATAGCTTCAATTGGTCTGAACAGCAGAATCACCTTTCGAAATGTTGAAAGAAGCAATGTGTTCTACCCCAGTGTTAGCCCTTCCTGATTTCAGCCAACCTTTTATCATTGAGACAAATGCCTATCAAGGGGGCATAAGATCAGTTCTGATGCACGGAAAGAGACCTTTAGCACTTAAGCAAGGCAATCGGCATTAGGAATATAGGGCTATCCATTTACGAGAAGGAGCTGCTAGCACTAGTTACTGCAGTTTGTAAGTGGAGGCAGTACCTGGAGGACCACTTTATAATTAAGACTGATCATCAAGCACTCAAGTACTTAAGCAAAGGTTCACAACTCCTCTTCAACAAAAGTGGCTTACAAACTTTTGGGCCTCAGCTATGAAATCATTTATAAAATTGGGGTAGATAATATTATTGCAAATGCCCTTTCCAGGAGACATGAAGGAGTTCCTGAGTTTTCCCACATCACAGTAGTCGAACCTGTGTGGATTGAGGAAGTTTTAGGGAGCTATAAGGATGATAAGGAGACAGAGTAGAAGATTAAATCACTATTGGTCAACCCAATTTCTGACCCTGATTTCAGTTATGAAAATGGATTATTGAAACACAACGGGAAGTTATATGTTGGCACTGGAGGGGACATTCGGTCCAAACTGATTCAGAACCTGCATGGTTCAGCTGAAGGAGGTCATTCGGGCATTCATAATAGCCTCTATCGACCAAAATAACTATTTTATTGGCCAAGGATAACACAGGAAATCAGACAAGTGGTACTCCACTGTAAAGTTTGTCAAAGATGTAAAGGGGAACATGTTCCCTACCCAGGACTATTACAGCCCCTTCCCCAACCTTTACACTCATGGAGTCATATCAGCATGGACTTCATTGAGGGATTACCCAACTTTGGGGGGGACACGATTCTGGTGGTGGTGGATCGTTTCACAAAATATGGACATTTCCTGGCCTTGACACACCCTTTTATAGCCTCCTCAGTGGCACAACTCTTCCTCGATAACATCTACAAGTTACATGGCTTGCCTCTTAGCATAATCTCTGACAGAGACAAGATCTTCACCAGCAAGTTTTGGCGAGAACTCTTCCATCTCCTAGGGACTAAGTTGCATTACAATACATCATATCAGCCTCCAACAGATGGGCAAACTAAAAGGGTTAACCAATACGTGGAAATGTATTTAAGGTGCTCAGTTTACCAGCATCCTAAACAGTGGGGAAAATGGCTGGCTCTGGCTGAATTGTGGTACAACACCACCTATCACACTGCTATAAGGATGACCCTGTTTGAAGCTTTATATAGCATGAAACCTCCCCAACTAGCAGTAGGGCCCTATCAGTAATCTAATGTAGCTGCAGTTGATAGTTTGTTACGGGAGAGGTACAAGCTAGATCAACTTCTGAAGGAAAATATGACACAGGCGAGGGCAAGGATGAAACTTTATGCTGATCGAAAGTGAACAGAAAGCTCATTTCAAGAAGGTGATTGGGTTTTCCTCAAGCTACACCCCTTCACTCAGCAATCAGCGAACGAAGATCTCATCACAAACTGAATGCTGGATACTTTGGCCCTTATCAGATTATGAAATGAATTGGAGAGGTAACCTACCAGTTGGCCCTGCCAGAAAGGACAAAAATCCACCCAGTTTTTCATGTATCTTTGTTGAAAAAGCAACTTGGAAGTAACATCTTACCAGTTCTTCAATTACCAGAAGGGAACCAGACCTTACACTCTATTCATCAGCCTTTTTCTATCCTTCAATCTCGCAGGGTACAGTGCAAGAACCATCAGGCCGTCCAGTGGCTTATTCATTGGTCAGAAGCTTCACCAGAAATGCAACTTGGGAAGACTCCGAA